CATCTGACTGGGGCTGGACAAAGGAAACAACTGGGTGGCAGCCTCTTTGGACCACTCTCCCTGAAGCAGCAAAATCGTGTCACGAATTGATACACTGTCGCTGCGAGAAAGCGTGCACTGGACGCTGCAAGTGTGCCAAAGCTGCACTCAAGTGCACTGCACTGTGCTTCTGTTCTGGAGACTGTTAGATTTTGAACATTACCAATAGGATATTTGAAAATAGGATATTCGACTTTTTGAACGTAATTCGACCTTGACCTTGACCTAAACGCATGTCCTTTAGTTCTGGCAATCTTAAAAGTATCACCAAATGAATGGTCATCCCCAATTTAGTTGGAATTGACACCTTAAACGTTTTTCTACACTGTTTGGTTTCAAAATTAAGCGCGTTTGAACATTAGACCCGTAGGATTGGCGGTCATCTTGGATTTGACCTCTCACGATCCTCAGAGGTCAAATCTCACTTCCCTCCACATCTGAAAATAAACATGATGGTATATACTAACTATGCTAGAAATTTCATGCTTTTCTCATAAAATGCACAATTGTTCTAATATGAGAGCTTATCAACTGTACTAACCGTAGAAATCAGGTCAGAGTGTAAACACAGACGTTCATACTAGCGTAAACAGCGCAATGTAGTACTAATGCCACGTAAAGTCTGTTATTAGAGAAGCTAGTCGATTGCCAGTCAGATAGTAACACGGGAATGAAAATGACAGAAAGTGCTCTGAATTATTGACATAAAAACTCAATAATATTTACCAAACAGAATTGCACGCACTTTTGTTTTAATTATGTTCGCTTGTTTGAGACGCCATTTGTGATTTTTGAGAGTCGTGACACGATAAAATTTATTGCTGGTATGATGTGGTCAAATCAATTTTTCTATGCTATAACTGCATAAAATCTTGGTGTTTTGAATGTTGGTATAATCAGTGATATTTCCACTGTCAGGTGAGACTATATTCAGTTATATTTAGTTTTTCTGAGCCAAAAAACTCCTTTAATTGGCCGAATCTTCAACTACGCCGTAAAGAGAAGCGACTCAACCTTCTCAACAAAATTCTCTCTGGAAGTACTGCGATCCCCAAAGTCCAGTACATCAGGATGGGTCCATCGCGCACAAGGAGCAAAAACGACAACAAACTTGCAGTCATTAGAACCTCAACAGAGGAATTCAAGAACTCATTCTCTCCACGCAAACGTGGACTGGAATGCCTGCACACAGACCGTAATCGACGCCATCTGTGTCGCGGTCGCGAGAGTTTACCATGCCCCACCACCTGCGTCATAATACGCGTATACGCGGTCGACGCAGTACACAATCAAGATCAATATCAAGATGAAGAAGACTTCGAAATAAATAACAGCAGCAGAAAAAAACAGAGAGAAGATGGCGACATCAGAGCATGAGGATTCCAGTATGCGCCACCTATCGGATCATATATGAGTTAATATATTATGTTTTAACACTTTTTATTATATAAGTCTATAGAAATAAATATAAACATATATGCAATATGATTTGTTAAAACGCCGAATAGGATTACCGATCGATTGTTTCGCGTTGTATAAACGTCGACTTGCGATCATTGACATCATGACGGAATAAATTAAACAATTCGTTTACATTTTGGTCTGTATTTGCTGGGTAATTATTTTTTTATTATTTTTGTGTGTTCAGTCAGTAAATGATTAATGATGTTTATTGCTACATGTGTACTCTTGTTGTCTGATTAAGACATGCATAATTTAGAAGATTAATACGCATGTTTTGAACTGCTTGTGTATACGTCGCGATTACGTGAAGAACGGCACGTTGAAAATGCGTGTTTAGAACTCCACGATAAAACGCGTGTTTTTCCATCGTTTCCAACGCGTGTTGTATACGGCACGTGTCGACTTGGCCGGCTGGGTAATAACATATGCAGGAAATGGGAAATCACAATGCAGTAAGAGGGCGAGATAGCTGAGTAAAGAAAGGCAGCAGAGAAGGGGGTATAGGAGGAAGAGAGAAGTTGTCTCCTTCACCGTATTCTACCTCTTCAACCCATTTTCCTTTCCCTCATGTCCGACTTCCACGTTTTCAGTTACTTCCCCCGTTTCTCGCGCCTGTTTCCTCCCACTCCTTTCTTGTTCGCATTTAGGCCTATACTTATATATGCAGTCACTTAATTGTGCCAGCGATAATAACATGATTAAGCAATCAATGTATTATCAGCTCTTGAAATGATGGTAAATATAAACAAACTGTGTTTACTACGAAACTCTTATAATGTTTGTCAACTCTCTATCACCTAATAATTCCTCGTACCCTATTCAAACCCGTGCTCCTCTGCAGAATCCCTTCGCATGTGTCACGGTGCACAAATTTACATAAAGATCATGTTATATATAAGCATATTCTATACATATATTTATGCATAATGTATATATATGTATATATATATATATACTAGCGGGATACCCGGCGTTGCCCGGGAAAATCAGTTAGTACACCAGCCAAACATGGAAAAGTCCTCTAGAAAAACATTTCTAGTGCATTTTTTGTTAATAACAGGCAACCATGCTAGATCAATCAGTCATAGAGTGGGGAAGAAAATGTGGGTAGATGCCACCCTCGAGTTTGACCCTAAAGGTCATTTTAGGTCAAAGGTCAAATAAGGTCAAATTTTGTGTTTTTTACATTGTGCATTAATTGACATCAACTTTGTCTGCTCTATCCATAGAAACTATTTTTGTTATCAAAAACATGTATTTAGCCTCTTTAATTAACAAGTGAATTTTAATTTTTACACATATGTGTATGACATTCTGAAACACAAAAAACGTGATTTTCTCGAAATGTGTATATTTTGCATGTTAAGGTAATTTGCACATCGAATCTTTTGGTTGAAATTATCACGCACGTTCAATATACTAATTTGTCACTGTAAAATCCTAAATGAACTTTTTTTTGCAATGGCCACTTGTTTTATTTATAATTAAACACTGTATAGCCCCCTCTTGTGGCAGTCAGATTTGTTCTAGTACACCAGCCAACATATGATTTTATGGAGCATTGCTTGTTTATAGCAGGCAACCATGCTAGATCAATTAGTCATAGGGTGGGGAAGAACATTTGGGTGGATGCCACCCTCGATTTTGACCTTAAAGGTTATTTTTAAGGTCAAAGGTCAAATAAGATTAAATTTGTTTTGTTTTTACATTGTGCATTAATTGACATCATCTTTGTCTGCTCTATCCATAGAAATTGTTTCTGTTATTAAAAACATGTATTTAGGCTGTTTAATTAACAAGTGAATTTTAAGTTTTACACATATGTGTATGGCATCGTGAAACACAAAAATGTGGGTGACACACGCATAACATAATATAATGATAATTATGACTATCAAGTATGGGAATATTGTTAGAAAGCATAATAATCAAATAAGTTATCCTAAATCCATCGCAGACCGCGTTTTTTCTCCAGGCGAGATCAGGGCTATAATTACCATAAATGGGCGTGTCTATCGAGCTGGTGCTTTTGACGCATGCGCATTCGTTAAGGAAGATTCCGACCCTAACCCTAACCCTAACCCTAATTAAAATTTAATTAAAAAATTTGTTGTTATTAAATTGTTGTAAATAAATCATGTAAATATTTGAGTTAATTAGAAAAAAATTGTTAAATCTAAAAATAGAAAAATACAGAAAACAAGAAAATAATTAAAAATTCAATCGGATTCTATCTAACGACATTTCAGACATGAGGTTAACGCGCTAGGTACTAGGGCCTAGGCTATCGAGGACTACTGAGGGAATTCTTTATGGATGTCCTATGAATATTACGAGACTGTGACGTTCCACCAATGGCACTGAAGTTCAACCAATGGCAGCGCGAGAGACACGCCCATTATGGTAATTAGCCCTGAACTCGCCTGGGGAAAAAAATTACGCTCGCAGACCACTGATCTCTATAATATAATCTGGATAGCGCTTGGCCTATCCGCGCTTAACATGAAAGTAACGCCACAGCGCCATCTTCATACTACTCCCAAAAGCTGAATCTGCTGGTCTGTGCCCCACAACATTTCAAATGAAAAATAAGAAAACGCGACTTATTCTATTATTCAAATTAGCATGAAAAAAAACTTTGATCTATACTTAAGAGATTATATAAATATGGATATTTATATAGATACATGTATGGCGCTAAAAGAACGAGAAATACACGAAAACTAATTTTTTACGTGACGTCACTGTTCTGTTCTACGTGGACAAACAAGACAAGACGTCTGGCTAGCTGGAGCCACGTACAACTAGTGGCGTTTATTATACAAACACCAACTGCGCATGACACGCGCATACATTCAGTAACAATCAGTAACAGTACAGAACATCTCCCCCGTTTTTTTCAAAAGAAATTACACAAATTCAGCCATTCAGTATACAGCGTATAATTGCCACTCACTATTTAACATAAATAACTATACATGGTTGACAATACACTTAAACCATGTTCACGTCATAGCTTATAACTATTTACATAGATGGCATCACTCTGGGTTTACCACCCTACCATAACGCGTGGTGTATAAGCCAGAATCGAGCCTTTTTGAATCACTCTGAGTCTCACTGGACACCGATTTCTTAACTTCAGGCTGCTTTGCTGAGATTTGTGTAGGCGGGTCGGATGTGATAGGGTTGTATGACGCTAGTAGCTTCTCATCGACACTAACGCTAGTCTGCATAGGACCATCCCCATTCTGCTTCATAGCAGGATACATAGCCGACAAAGGTGGCTTCACCAGATGCCTCCGATTCCGCCGGTATACAGCACCATCTGGTGTACACACAACATATGAATGCTCATCATGCTTCCCGGATACCACTGCAGGGATCCACCTCCCATTACCAGTCTGTACTCTAACACCATCGCCAACTCCTAAAGGACAGAGCGGTTGTGCAGACTGGTCATGGTACTGCTTATACTTATGCTGGCTATCATGTATCCGCTGCCTCACTATGGATGGATCAGGGGTGCTGGGCTTCAGTAACTGCGCTGACGTAGGGACAACCGACCTGAGTCGTCTCCCCATCAACAACTGTGATGGTGAATAACCCAAGCTCAATGGGGTAGTAAGGTACTCGAGTACACCAATGCAATAGTCTTTACCATCAGCTTTAGCCTTGCTGAGTATTCTCTTTACTGTCTGAACAGTGCGCTCAGCGAGACCATTAGACCTAGGATAATGGGGGCTAGACGTTGGGTGCACAAACCCATACTGCTCCGCAAAGCGTGCAAATTCCTGCGACGCATATTGCGGACCGTTATCCGACACACACTTCTCCGGTATTCCAAATCTGCAGAAAATGCGTTTTAGCCGGTTGATGACGCAACTACTAGTCGTACTAGTCAACTTTTCGACCTCAAAGAACCGACTGTAGTAATCCACAACAACTAAATAATCACTCCCTTCCCAGGTGAATAAATCGCTGGCAACAACCTGCCATGGGTACTCAGGAACCTTGTGACACGTTAGGGGTTCCTTAACATTAGAGTTCCTACGCTCTAGACACACTTCACACCTCAGTACCATATCTGTGATTTCGGCCGTTATTCTTGGCCAGAACACAATATCTCTCGCCCTCGAGAGACATTTCTCTACTCCCATGTGTCCTGCATGTATATTCTCTAGAAACCGTGTACGCAGTTCACTAGGAATATAAATCTTATGACCTTTCATGATGATGCCATCAAGAATGGTCAGCTCATCCCGAATATTCCAAAACTCGACGACAGACGGGGAACAATCTTTCCTTAAACGAGGCCATCCTGTCATAATACACTGCACTAACGACTCACACTGCGCATCTGCAGCCGTAGCAGCTTTTACTTCCTGCAATCTTACGTCACTGATGGGCAGATATGACAGAACCGTGTGCACATGTACCTCTAGCTTATCCGAGAACTCTGGGTATGTATTCGACACAAAATTGCGTGACAACGTGTCAGCCACCGGAATCTCCGTTCCTCTTACATACTTCTGCAACTGTAATAACATGCGTTGCAATCGTGGCGGTGCAACATGCAAAGGCTTGCTAAAGATAGCCGTCAATGGTTTGTGATCCGTCTCTACCACTGTTTGCTTTCCGTACACATACTGGTGAAACCTTTTACAGCCAAACAGTATCGCATAAAGCTCTTTCTCTATCTGAGCATAACCAACTTCCGTGGTAGTGAGAGACTTAGATGCATACGCCACAGGGCGTCCCTCCTGTAGAACTACTGCACCCAGGCCATATTTTGATGCATCGACTTGTAGACAGGTATCTTTCGAGGGGTCAAAATATGCCAACACAGGACTCTGTGTGAGGATCTCTTTCACTTTCTGAAATGCATCGTGCTGGGCATCATCCCATAGAAAAACTGCATCCTTGGCCATCAATTGCCTTAAGGGCTTCGTGATCTCAGCTAGATTTGGTGAGAACTTTGATAGGTAAGTGATCATTCCTAACAGAGTAGCTAATTCTGCTTTGTTCCCTGGGGCCTGCATACCGCATAGATCCTTATCTTGCCTGGATCAGGCTTGACCCCCTCTGCTGTCAACAGGTGCCCAAAGAAAGGGACTTCAGTGGCTCTGACCACCAGCTTATCCTTATTAAGCTTTATTCCTCTTTCCGCACAACGCTTCAACAGACACCCTAAAGGGGACCCCCTAGGGGGACTCCCTTGCGATCGTGCTCTTCGACAGTCCCCCCATAGACTAGCACGTCGTCAACTATCACATCAACCCCTGTTAAGTCTCTAAGAATTTCATCAATCTGCCTCTGAAATTCGTTTTGCGAACATACCAAACCAACCGTAAACGCTTGAACTTATACCTCCCAAAAGGAGTATTGAACGTCGTTAACAGGGACGATTCTTCTTCCAACACTATCGACCAATAACCTGATCGGGCATCCAGCTTAGAGAAATACTTTGCACCCGTTAACACAGGTAAGATATCCTCTAGCGTACGCATTGGGTGATGTGGACGAGCAATGGCCTTATTCAAATCTTTCGGATCAAGGCACACTCTCAAGTCACCAGTCCTGGGCTTCTCTACCAAAACAATAGAATTCACCCATTCAGTGGGCTCCCTCACTTCTTCAATCACCCCAAGACTTCTCATGCGATCAAGTTCTTTCTTAAACCTGTCTCTAAGAGCATGCGGGACCCTCCTCGGTGGGTGTACAACTGGAATCGCATCCGATCTAACATGTACCCTACACTTTTGAGGCAGGGTACCGATTCCCTCAAACACAGGACTAAACTACGACAATATGCTATCTGGAGATTTGTCTGTTTCCCTCATCCTCTTACTATCCACAGCTAGAGTAACCTTAATCAGACCTAAAGCCACACAGGTATTCAGACTCAATAACGGGTAGTTACTGGTATCAACTACGTAGAACTCAGCACTGAGGGGCGAATTTCCACTGTAGCTACACTTCAACTGACAACAGCCAATAGTCTTCAGGCTCTGATTACCGTAACCATAAATCGTTTGCCTGGGGGGTGTAAGGGCGACATTACCTAACTGATCATGTACAGCCTTCGGTATAATGTTAACTTGAGACCCAGTGTCAAGTTTAAACACTACAACTTCCTTCACCCTACCCGATCCCAGCTCAACCTCAGCAAATGCCTGGTCATTCGTAACTTTATTATCCCTCTCAACGGTGTCAACATAGAACTCAGCATCACCGACTGGCTCATTCTCTGACTTATACTCACCGTAAGGCAATTCAGCCACAATTGCATGCGCATTTCCACTTCGGGTGCCGTCAACAGCATTACGACACACTTTCGCGAAGTGATTCCACTGTTGATTCCACATTGACTGCTGATTCCACATCTGTTGCACTGCTTTCCTTTCGCCGCGCATGTCTGTTTTGCACCGTGGAAATAGCCACATTTCCCGCACTTCTTTCCTGGCACGTGATCGGGTCTTGGAGCGAACGGCAGTTTCGCTCTCTGTTCTGCTCTCGGTTTCGGTTGCGGTTGCGGTTGTGGTTGCGGTTGCTGTCTGCTCGCCACGTACTGCCTATGTTGCGCTGCTCTCACGGTGACTCTTACCGAATGTGATTCCGCTGGGATTGCTGTCGCTGACATTGACCTCATCTGCTCCTGTGCATACTCGAATTGCTGCGCAATAGTGATTGCCTTCTCCATAGTCAGTTTTTCTCTCTCGTTCACCAGCTTCTCTCTGACCTTACTGTTCGAGATACCAAATACAATTCGGTCCCGTATCATTTCATCCAGATCGCTGTAATTGCAATCTTTTCCGAGAACTCGAAGCCTGGTTATGAACTGCTCTACTGACTGCTCTCGCTGAACCTCGTTATTAAACTTGTACCTTGCAAATATCGGGTTCAATTTCGGCTGTATGTAAGACTGGAAACTCTCGTAGTAGGTAGATAGTTTTTTCTCATCGTCTTCCGAAACGCTCCATGTGTTGTAAATCTCTCTCCCTCTGTCTCCAATCCACAGCATGAAATACTTGCATTTCACTGCCTCATCTTTATCCGTCAACGGGCCATCAAACACGAGCTGAATGTGCTGCTTAAACCGTTTAAAGGCTTCGGGCAGGTTAGACGAGTCCCACTCCATCTTAGGCACGGGAATCCCAGCTAGCTCCATGGCGTGACTGGATAGAGTACACACTTACTCACAATAATAGATCGTTAATAGAGCGTCCTACTTCTTTACTGACTCTTCTTGCAGCTCTGCATGCTCTTTTTTGCGAACTATGCCTATGGTCATTCGTATCACTCAAGGCGAGTTCGTACTTATTCTGACACCATGTTCTGTTCTACGTGGACAAACAAGACAAGACGTCTGGACTCTGGCTAGCTGGAGCCACGTACAACTAGCGGCGTTTATTATACAAACACCAACTGCGCATGACACGCGCATACATTCAGTAACAATAGAACAGTCACGAGTCACGTGCTAGCTAGTCGCAGCCTATTCTACCAATTATAATAATTCTTATGTTACCATTCGCATGAAAACAAACCTTGATGGTGAAACATGATAAAAATGATGAAACATGAAAGATTATATTATATGTATATATATATTTATTTATTTATAAGGCATATAGGCAAATATAGCATATAGGTATAGCATATAGCATATAGGTATAGCATATAGCATATAGCCTATAGGTATAGCATATAGCATATAGGTATAGCATATAGCATATAGCATATAGGTATAGCATATAGCATATAGGTATAGCATATAGCATATAGCATATAGGTATAGCATATAGCATATAGGTATAGCATATAGCATATAGCATATAGGTATAGCATATAGCATATAGGTATAGCATATAGGTATAGCATATAGCATATAGGTATATCATATAGCATATAGCATATAGGTATAGCATATAGCATATAGATAGGCCTACATATATATAATAATTAATATAGCATATTATATTATTATATTATTGACAACCAGGCTG